AGAAGTATTTAATTGTTTATTAAGATATAAATCACCATCATTTAAAAATATTCATTTACTAAACTTATCCAGATGCCAAACTAAAAAAATACAGAATAAAGAATGCTAATATTGCCACAACATAAATCTATCCTAATACAATACATTGGGGGGGGGGAACCAAAACTTTGCTCACTTCCCTTTCCAAAGCTACTGTAACCACAAATGAAATTTACTGCCAAAATTTGTATTCAAGATAAATTTTTAGAAGCCCCAAACCTCCATTTAAAGAGAAACTGCAAATATTTTAGCAAAGCATGTTTTTCTTTTATTTACAGAGTATCTGGTACTAGCAAAGCCAAAATGTAGTCAGCACAGAAGCAATTTTTTTATTAAAATCTGGATAGCTTTTCAGATCTCCAAATCATTCCTATTGAATTTGTTCTGATGTATTTCTCTACTTTGAAGCCTAAAGAAATACCATTCTCTCAATTTCTTTATGGCTCAAAGTTATTAAAAACTATCTACTCTTATATATCTTCTTAGATCTAAACTAGCCACACGATTTAAGGAGACCTGGCTCACATTTTGACCTAATAGGGTAGCTATTCTGGGGTGTTAACAGATAAAACAAGCAGCTTAAGTGTCTATAGCAGTTTTGCTGTTTTTCTGATTATTATATAATCATATTTTTCTTGAGAGACACATCTTCAGTGGGTCTCTAGTGAGTTTTGCTCATATACATCTTACTAGGTATGCTAAGAATGCAAAGCCCTGATCACTCTTTACCCAGGCCTTTTCTCAGGGTTTAGTTTCCAGTGAGTACTCTTGGAATGAAGTAAAATCTCCCTGTGGACAATGAGGCGGCTTGCTTCCTGCTTGCTGTAAACGCGGTAGATTCCCAAGTGTACATTCCTCTACTGCAAGGAGAGGAACACTATGTGCAGAGCATCCATCTGGACCTGTGTCACATCACTCCCATACTAACAATATTAATAATAACTCAAATCTCTAACTTAACTGTACATCATTTCTAGAAAAAAGAAATATAAAGTTCCAATTTGGTATGACAGGAGAATCCCCTTTACACCATTTCTAATACCTGCAACCCAGTGGAAAGGGATTCCCACAGCACCTAGTCTCCCATGATGGGTCTAGGACCCAGGGCAGGGAGTCTCAAAGGGTAGTTCTTTGGGGATGAAAGGGATCAAGTCCCTAACTGGAGGATTAGAAAGAGTGTGCAAGGTGACAAAAGGTTTGGAAGGTGTGCAGTGAGGACACATGGGCTGGAATAAAGGAAGACCTGGAGCCTCCTAGCAGCACAGGAGGCTGTACCCCTTAACCCCCATTTGAGGTTATTTCTAGTCCTGTATTAGTTCTGGATCATTTTCTTTCCATTGTTCCCAATTACTGATTTCCATTAAGAATCTTTGCTCCAACTTGGCCCACTGTGGAAGATGTAGAATATAATTTCATCACTTTTTTCCCTGGTCTTTTGTCCCAATAACCAAAACAATACAATCCGATAACCTTAAAACTAGACCAGTAATATTTCATGAACTTTATGAGATTATGGTGGGTACGTAGAAGTAGTGGGTAGAATGAAGATTTAAACAGGCTGCTTGTTTCCACGCCCTTGGATTGAGGTCTGGCAACATTCAACAGCCCTTTAAAGAAAGATAAGCATGCTCTCCTATAAAGTCAACTTTGTAGTTCCAAGGTTGCCATTTATTAAGAAACTGTACAGAGAATTTCTACACTAAAATGAGAGACCACGTTCATTTTTTCCATCAGGATCACAGCCAAAAACAAACCATATTTCTTGAAAACTTAGGTGAGGTTTCCAAGAATTAAACAAAACAGATTTACCAGCAAAAGGCAGGAAGAGTAAGATTATAATTTGAACCAGGCAAACTGTTTCATAACAGAAAATGTGGCATTTAATGCAGTTTGCAGAATATGGTATGCTAAAAACGCTACTTATGGCAGTAGCAGGCCTCTAGAGAGTGAAACCAGCCAAACAAAAGAACTAAAAAAGGTAGAAAAAGAAGCCATGTCAGCATCACAAAGCCACAAAAGACTGATATAATTTTTTTTTGCTGAATTACAACTTTTTCCCCATACTTTTGATTTAAAAGCAAAAAAAGTACATAATAAAAACATTTTCTTTTTGGCCATTTTGAATCAGGAATTTATACTAATTCAGATTTATCCTAATTTAACAGGACTTGAGTCTTAAAAAACACATGCACTGTTGAGGTCAACCAAGTTACTAACACAGACTATACAAGCTGATCAAAGTTCTCTCCTGCAGCCCCTCTGGAACAGATTTACTTTGGGTTCCTGAGCGGCTTGGCCAGCTGATAGGACAAACTAATGCTTCTTTACTTGAAATAAACATTCAGTCAAAATCCCTATCCAAAAATTCATAGTGAAAAGGCTTGGCTCACTTCTTGATGTGCTGGCCAAGTAAAAATGAGCACAAAAACCACAATACAGGTTGACTAGAAAATTATTTTAATCATCTTTAGGTCTCTTTGCACTAAACACACAGTACTTGAATCTTTCTTTTATAATACTATCAACTCTAAATTTAAGATACTAGCCAAAACATACTGCTAAAAGCAAAAGCTAATATTTGTTGGTTTTATATTGTCTTACCTCACATATCTCCCAGTTCCTCGATGCTAACTGAGGCTTTGTCAGCAAATTACTCAACAAATTTACAGAACTCTCTTAAGAGTATAAAAGGAGAACAGATCTGGTGTTTCACACCAGAAAACTAATAAAGGATGTCTGGCTAATAGACCAACATATAATAAATTGAAAATGTTTAGAGATTACAAAATGGGTCAGTAGCATACGATGACTTCGAACATTAATATGTTCATTATTCAGATGTTAAGCCTTAAGAAATGGGGAAAAGAGCCTCCTCTAGTTTTTATGTGCAATTATTGTATCAAAAATTCTTACAATTAAGAAGAGACCTTTCTATAACTTACCTACACTTGTTCCAGATAAATCCTCTGGAATAACTCAGAACAATTCTCCTATTTTCACATGTCAATCTTCATTTCCTAAAAGATGGCTCCCAGGTATACTTTCAGTCTTTTCTTCCTCAGTTTACTGAATTATTCCAACCCTTAAGCAACTCCTCTATCTATTACATGGTTTTTAGATACTGTCCCAATCCTAGCTATGTTCTTCTGAACTTTTCCATAATTGAGACTGTCTGAATGTAGACTTAGATTATGTTAATATTTTTAACAACAGTGACATACAGTTGACCTGTATATTATTAAAGTTCTAATTAGTCTTTATATTTTTTCACATGAAAAATATTTTATATGCCCTAACATATTACATAAAGGCAACTTTGAATATTTTCCATTGCTAGTTTCATTTGGGAGTATTACACAAAAAACATTCAAGTTTAAAATTTAAAGAGTTTTAAAAGGAAATTCTAAGGGATCATTTTTAAAAATCCTCTTTCATTACTCTTAACTCACTTAGTCTCCTATGAAAAGCATAATCTTTTCTTATTGGTTGCACTTTTTAATTGAAAATATCACAGAATATTTTTGGATTTTTGTTACTGTCATTCTTTTACTTATTGTAGAAATTTTTCTATGCACCAAAAGGAGAGAAAAATTAAACACCCAGCTTCCATGATTATCAATATTTTGCCAATAATGTTTTCTCTGTCCTCCTCAGAGTATTTTAAAGCAAATATCAGCATCATATTGTTTCATCTTCAATTGAAACACACACTATATATTAAAGCTTATTATGCCATAACCACTGTGCTTACCTTTTCTACTCCTCAAAATAAATTAACATAACAGCCAAACTTAATCCTATATTATTTATTCTCTATGCTCATATAACACTAATTTTCCTATTCCATGTCTTGGCATGCACTGTTTTCAATACCTATGGAAACTATAGGACTCTAGAAATTGGATGTTCTACTTTCATTAGATAATATTCCTTTGTTACGGATTTTTAAAATATTGCTGGCTGAGATTACTGTTTATGCAACAGTGGAGCAATTTCACAATTAAATGGGTTACTGACATGCTGGTTAATAAATTCTGGTAGACAGATCAGACAGAAGTCTGATAAACAACCTTGCATAACTCATAGGATTTTAAAAATACTTTGCAAAAGTACTCTACCTAAATAAAGAGTAGCAATATCAACAACTAGTAATATTCATTTTTATTTTAAAGAAAACATATAGGCTTTGCTTCCCCATTATAATTTTAGAGAATTCACTGTTAGAATTCTTTAACTTTAATGTTCATTAAAATTTAGGACCATGATGTTCAATTACTATTTAATATATAACATGAGCTATTTCAAATCACTTTTAAAGTAAGCAAGAATTAGTTGGCAAGTCCTGGAACTGGCTTTAAGGAGTGACAGATCTTAGGAAACTATGTGATTTATAAATTATAAGAAATCCCTATAACATGCTAGAAAATGTGAAGGTTTACAAAAATGGGAAAGTACCAAAAAATCATTAAGAGACAGAATTCCTAAGAGTAGCAAGTCATCATTATGCAGTGGTGAAAACCCTTTAAAAAGTCAAGGGAGAAGCTAAGTATAAAACCTGCCTTAAAAGTAGTCTACAGACTATTATCTGGGAAGTTGCTAAAAACATTTCAATCAGGAAACATGAAAGAATCTGTAAAATATTAGTGGGTGATTGGCTTGGGGATGTGGGAGCTTGAGGAATGTAATGAGAGTGTTCTAAAGAAGTAGTAAAGAAGAGGGAGGTATGCAGACTTCACTTTTCATCAAACCACTTCAAATTTTCAAAAACATTTTCACTTAGATTCTATAATAACATCTAAGTAAGCCTTACCCTAATTTTGCACCAAAGATTGGATGTGCAATTTCAGCACACTCTTTTATTTGATATAACAAACTTCAAAAAATAAAAACAAGGCAACAAAAAGTGTTTTTTAGGTTTTTTAAAAATCAGGCAGTAATAAAAGCACTATTTCAAAACTTACATCTGAACCCACACTTCTCATGGTACTTTGTAACACAGGCTTAGTCACGGAAAGTTTTCCATTCACTGGGCTACTTGCCACAGGAGCCGGTACCACGTTCACCACGTGATTAGGTAGCTGTGTGACTCCCCCCGCTACAGCAAGGACTGGCTGAGCAGAGGGCAGAACTCCAGGTGCCTGCAGTTGTACCACAGTAGGCTGAGAGAGCAAAACAGTCTGACCTGCATTAGAAAAAAAGGAAAAGGAATCAGAGGGTGCTATTGTGGCAGGGGAGGCAGTTTAATATTTAGGTGTCTTCTGCAGATATAATGGTAAGATTAACACCAAGGGATTTTTCACCAGCAATTAAAACATGAGAAATAGCAGCATATATTCATGGTGACTTTGTTGTATGTTTCTAATGAAACCAACTAAATTCATTCTCTTTGAGATAGCACTAACAATATATTTCCATATTTATCTTTCTCAACTATACACATATCAAGTTTGCTATTATACATAGATTTTCTTAAGAATTAACCTCGGAAATTTATTAGTGCTAAAAAGATTTGTCATATAAATAAAAATATTTTATACTGACAAAGGAGAACCAAATATTTTAAATTAATAGGATTTAAAATATATATACAATACCAAAAATATATATATGAACAGAGATTCAATACTGGAAGAAGGAGGGATTTCATCTTAAAAAGCACTTGAGATGAAATTTTAACCAACAAGCACAAAAACACAAACCTGTAATTTAAAATAATCTGTATTAAAGGTCATAATATATACTAAAACAAACAAAAAACAGTCTGTAGATAATACCAATCCTCTCCTCAAATAATGGCCTTCAAATCTTTTCTGAGTCTTCACATTTATCATTATTTTAAATTTACGTTAATCTGAGAAAAATCAGCACAGGTTGAATATCCCTAATCTGAAATCCAAAATGCTCCAAAACCCAAAACTTTTTGAGCACTAGCATGATACCACAAGTGGAAAATCTCACACCTCTAATCCCAAGCATGTCAGATGACGGATGTTCAACCTGTAACAATGACGATGAAGATGTTACACTGTAAACAAAGTATTAACATTGCAGAAAAAGTGCCTGCAGCTGACATAGTAAAAATGTGTGACGGGCTCATTGAAAGACTAGAGTAGCATGCATTCATAACAAAATTAAGAGATCATGCTAGTTTATAAAATCAAGGAGAGACTTCTGGCCAGGCACGGTGGCTCACGCCTGTAATCCTAACACTCTAGGAGGCCAAGGATCACTTGAGCTCAGCAATTTGAGACCAGCCTGAGCAAGAGCAAAACTCTGTCTCTACAAAAAATAGAAAAATTAGTCAGGTATAGTGGTGTGTGCCTGTAGTCCTAGCTACTGGGAGGCTGAGGCAGGGGGATCGCTTGAGCCCAGGAGTTTGAGGTTGCAGTGAACTATAATGATGACACTGCACTCTATCTAGCAGGGCACAGAGCGAGACTCTGTTTCCAAAAAAAAAAAAAAAAAGAGAGAGAGAGGGAGAGACAGAAAGACTTCTAAGACAAAAAACATTGTTAATGAAGCAGATGACTCTGGAGGAAACATTTTAAAAAGGCATCCAGCATGCCTCCTTATCCCTATAGGACCTCCTTCTTGGTACCTCCACTGTTTCTGAGTTTCTTCTCACCTAAAAAAGTACAATGTACAGTAAACTTTTAATCAACACAGTATTGCAGATAGAGACTGAAAGCCTGCTATTGTTTGTTGTTATTGTCTAATAGTTGACACAAGTATTCTGGTGATTCTGCTATGCTACTTAGTTACCCTGAATATATTATTTTTTTACTGTATTAATTGTATGTCATAGTTTTTACTGTTAATTACTTATGCATAAATAAGTATAAGAAAATGATTGCTTATCAGTAGCACATAAATGAATGATGGTAATGCCAAACAATCACAGACTGTCAACATGCATGGTTGAGATAGTGACACCTTTGTTTTCTGATGGTCCAAAATACACAAATTTTGTTTTATGTACAAAATTATTAAAAGTATTGCATGAAATTACCTTCAGGCTATGTGTATAAGGTGCATATGAAACATAAATAAATTTTATGTTTAGACTTGGGTTCCATCCCCAAGCTATCTCATTATGTACATGCCAAGATACCAAAATCAAAAAACAATCTGAAATCCAAAATTGGTCTAGTCCCAAGCATCTCAGAAAAGGTATACTAAACTTGTATCATTAACCTAATGAAGACTTATACAACTCATAACACTAATCTATTAAAATTTTTACTTGCCTGCTAAGTGTTTCCTTTCAGATCTGGCCAGATGTTTATAAGGTATTGAAAGCCTTGCCTAATATCCACAGCTGTTTGAGCCTATCTAAGAAAATAAAGACACTACAATAACTGGCAACTAAAATTCCATATAAATTTATAACTATTCTTTAAGAAAAAAAGCATTAGCCTTATGCTTTCAGACAATTTAATATGACCTATGTAAAACTCAGCTCAGTATTTTAAAGGATCAGGGAAAACTAAAACTCAAAATAATGCTTCAGAACACCTGCTTTTTAAGAACATCTGTCTTAGCTAAAAAACATTACTTTTATAAAAGCAAAGTCTTTGTTTCAGATGGCCTCAAAAAGCACACTAAAAGTAGCAGAATTTAATTAATAGCATTTTATCCCAGGTAAGTTAGTAAATTAGTAATAAAAAAGATCTAAAAATAATTTCATACATTTGGAATATGTACAATTTACTTAGGCATAAATGATCACTAAATATTTTTATCTTCTCATTTTCCCTTGGACTAACTTCTTTTTTTTTTTGAGACAGAGTCTCGCTTTGTTGCCCAGGCTAGAGTGAGTGCCGTGGCGTCAGCCTAGCTCACAGCAACCTCAAACTCCTGGCTCAAGCAATCCTTCTGCCTCAGCCTCCCAAGTAGCTGGGACTACAGGCATGCGCCACCATGCCCAGCTAATTTTTTCTCTATATATTAGTTGGCCAATTAATTTCTTTCTATTTATAGTAGAGACGGGGTCTCGCTCTTGCTCAGGCTGGTTTGGAACTCCTGACCTCGAGCAATCCGCCCGCCTCGGCCTCCCAGAGTGCTAGGATTACAGGCGTGAGCCACCTCGCCCAGCCGAACTAACTTCTTTTATGAAATAAAAACATAAAATGGGGAAATGGCTCCTAAGAAGATATAAATATGATTAGCACCAATATGTAAATAAAAATAATACATAAAGTAAACAGCACATAACTAAATAGGTTTCCAGTAACACTTAATAAGAAATTACAGTCAATCTGACACTAGGAAAAGACATATTCATCATAATGTAAAAACTTAAACCAAGGGTTCCCAATGCTGAATATAAGAAAGCTTCTTGAATATCAAAAAATATCATGATCACCAAAGATGATCATGATTGTCCTTTCAGATTCTGTGGATTGAGAAAATACATGATGAAAAGGCTACTAAGAATTTAGTAATTATTTAAAATGAATTTGTAATTTATTAATCAGAAGTAGAGCTACAAAAATTTGAAATGCAGCTGCACAGAGATATATGAAACAAATTATTTATTTGGTTACATAAAATGCTTACTACAAATTTGGATTTATAGATGCTTTGGGAACTGCCACAAGGCTACTACTCCCATTACCTACACCCAGGGTCGATTGTCTACAGGTTGAGAATCACTGACTTAAACCAGTACTTTGAGAAGAGCATTATAGAAGCAATGTTCCACATTCTATGATTTTAAAAATTAGAATAAAAAGACCCCCAAGAATTAAACACTGTTCAATTAACTTTAGGACTATTTCAAAGAACAGAAAAAGTGATAAATATAATGAACTAAGTCACTTCTAAGAAAAAAAATCCTACTTCTAGCTCTAAAGATTTAAAGCACTGGCAGGTAACACATGCAGAGGGCTTTGTAATATTTCTTAAACTAATTAAGAAAAATAATCCAAGTCTGTACCATCCTGTGTATAGTTATTACCATCTCCTTGCTGAGAGAACCACATCACAGAGAGAGGAGGAGACAGAGGAATACCAAGGCAAGGCCTGTGTATCCAATGTGGCTACAGTCCTACCAAGCCATTGCTGCTTTCTTTTTTGCCCATACTGTACACCAAGGCTTTTCATCCCAAAGTGCCCATCTATTTTCAAATTAACCAGCATCTATATCAAGAATCTTCTAAATATTTTAGGCACATTAAAGTTCATGACAGAATGGGGGGAAACAACTGAATTTCTATTACAATGTGTTCAAGTAAAAAAACAAATTCATGGTGACTTGCTAAATGCTGACCAGACCACAAACTATAATGCAAAGGACTGTTTGGGGCCTTAAATAGTCAGCAGCTGAACACAGTTACTACTGTTTGTAGTGTGGAAACAGTTAAAAAGGACATAACAAAAGGCTGTTTAAGCCATTTCAACATGCTCAAAATAGTCTTTGGCATTACATGCAAATCCCCTTTAATGACACACGGCTGGATTCAATGCTGGATACTTTTGACTACGTATGACTCACTGATTTTGATGGTCAGTTCTTTCTCTTCAACTTTCCTAAAAGATTTCAAACTATGTTTCAAACATTATCAAATGCCTATTTTGTCTAAAATAGCACAGCTATGTAACTTTGGGTAAATAATGTCTCTGTGCCTAGTTTTCTTACCTACATAATGGAGATATTAGCACCTATCCTCAGACTTGACATAAGGATTAAATAACATAGTGCACTTAAGTACTTAGAAGAATGTCTGGTACATAGTTAGACCTTAAATGTAATTTATTATTATTATTATTAATCTTCTTTTCTGTATAATAATAGTATCCATATGGGTACTACATGAATTATTAATTCATTAGTTCTCACAGTGACTGTTATTCAAGTGTTTACATAAATTTAACTCCCCAATTAAAGGGTAGAATTTATGAGAACAAGGACAATATATCTTATTCTTTTAGAAGCAATATAGTACAGTGATTACTTACATATACTCTGAGTCAGACCACCCAGGCTCAAGTTCTAGCTTCACTTCTTATCAGCAAAGTAACCTGGGGCCAAGTTATTTTACCTCTATCCCTCATTTCAATGATTCACACCACCATCTACCCAGAAACTCCAAGACAGAAATACAGACGTCATCCTAGATACCTTCCTCTCTATCCCTCATCCTCCTTCTATGCCATCCAATTACCAACCCCTATGATTCTATGCTTTTGAAAATCTCCACTCTCCATCCTGGGTTCCTTTGTTTTCACTGATATTCCAGGCTTTCATCATCTCTCACCTACACTACTCAAAACAGTCGTAAAGGACATATAGGACTTAGAAATAGGCAGAAGTTGTTGCAGGCTGGTAGAAAAGTATGAGCCAAGAAACTAGGAAAAACAAGAGAATTCAAAGGGCAATGCCAAATTAGTTGGGATAAAATGAAGATTTATAGAAAAGAGTGATACTATAAAGTAAAGTTAGAAAACTAAACAGGTTAAGCTCAAATTTTCTCACTTAGAATGTGGGTTTTGCATTCCACGCTAAAAAATTTGAACTTAATTCCTCTTGGAATTATTGCCTCTTTTTCAATGGTAAGATACTTACTACTAGTCTTGACATCAATTAACTGTAAAATGTCTTGCCAATATTTCCATTGTTCCCCTTCCCCATTCTCAAATAAATAAAATACACTTAAATCTGTATGTTATAATCATACCACCTCTCTAGATTATAATATAAAAACAGACAAACTACATGCCTATTATTAGCACATGCTCACAAAAAATGTATATAGTCTTTGGACCATGGGAAAGAACTAAAGTTCCAAATAATGTATGATTCATGTTTCTGGAACTGATAATCCGCTCAGAAAAGAACAATTTGTCTTCCTGCTATAGGTAAGATCTTTTATCATTTAAACATAGCCAATGGTTTGGTAATAGCAAATTCTTAGGAACATCCCCTACTTTACATACTAGTCATATTAATGTCAGACTCTAACTTTTTATAGATGTATTTTTATGGCTTATGGGAACTATAATGAGGTTCTTTGAGAGTTTAGACTCTTAGCCTTTGGGAACACACAGGTCCTTTTGAGATTCTGATGAAAGCTTTGGGTACTATCCCTAGAAATATTCACAAATGAGCATACACTAAATCTTGCATTTTATTTCAAAGAGTTCATGAACCCTTAAATCCCCTTTTACAGATCACAAGAATACCTATTCTACAGGATTGCTATTTTTCATATGAAAAAGGTAGTTATGATTCTGTACAGAGAGGGCTGGTATTTCAAACTGGTTTTTTTTTTTTTTTGGTAGGGACTAACTGATGGATTTTTACTGATCCCTCCATTCCCTCATCTAGTTCTTTTTATCAATTTTTTTTGGCATATTATGGGGGTACAAATTTTAAGGTTTCAATAAATGCCCTTTCCCCCCTCCCCCCACAAGTCTGATTTTCCAGCATGACCATCCCCCTTTTTATCAATGTTATATTGTCTATGACCATGTAATAGAGAACAAAGCTAACAGAGTACCTGGGAAATCAAATTTATGACCTTGCCCTCATTAAAACTATACTCCCAAGAAATGAGCTAACTATCCACAACTGGAAATACAGCCATAAAAGCAAATATAATGGTGTTTATTTACAATCCATACCCCATAAACACTTACTCCTACTTGGTGCCAACAACCTAAATCCACAGAAAAGAATGCTGCACAAGTTTTCTTGTACTAAATGTATAAACATATGAGCACAGTGATGACTAACCCGCCTAAGAAATCTCCATGTGAAAATGATTCCCATATCTGAATAGTACCTAATCCTCAAACTTGAATTTCTTTCAATACTGACCTAAACTTCTTGAAGAATCACAAGTATATGAGGCCATCTGGTGGATAAAATACAGAAACACACAACTTCTTAGCTAGCTGAAGGCAGAGTTTAGGTCTCCTCCAAATGCCCAGTGCAATATCTTGTTTACTAAACCATGCAGCCTCCTCAGAGATTAAAAGCCTGATTCTATTGCTAAAACACACCTATTAGACAAGAAATGAACCAAATTATTATTATTATTATTTTGAGACAGAGTCTCACTCTGTTGCTCGGGCTAGAGTGAGTGCCGTGGCATCAGACTAGCTCACAGCAACCTCAAACTCCTGGACTCAAGCAATCCTTCTGCCTCAGCCTCCCAAGTAGCTGGGACTACAGGCATGTGCCACCATGCCTGGATAATTTTTTCTATATATTTTTAGTTGGCCAATTAATTTCTATTTTTAGTAAAGACAGGATCTCGCTCTTGCTCAGGCTGGTTTAGAACTCCTGACCTTGAGCGATCCGCTGCCTCAGCCTCCCAGAGTGCTAAGATTACAGGCATGAGCCAAATTATTTTAAATACTGACCATTCCTTAAAAACAAAAAGCTCATAGCCACAAATATCTCAGAATAAAATGGCATCAAGAAAGTTTCTTAGATTTTCTTCTTCATTACTAGTGGTTATATGAAACCAAAAGCCTTGAAAGACAGGTGTTTTCACAATTAAAAGTGTAAGAAAAAATAAGTATCAGATGCAATTGATGTACAGAAGTCCTCCCAAGTTAGGAGTGGACCACATATTAGTCATCTCTGCAATGTCTTCAGAACCAAAGACAATTCCTAACACACAGGTATGCTCAGAAATTATAATCTGAATTAAAACAATAATTTGATAGCATAATAATTATGTAAGTTAATAACATATAATTAAAAATTATATGATACAAGTTCCACTCAGGTACCTTTAGTGGGTGCAGGTTGTATACTAATAATTGGCTGCTGCTTTGTCAATGGCATAAGTGTTGGTAATGTCTGAATAATGATGGTTTTCGCTGAAACGCTGGAGTTTGTTTGAGTCTTGGGTGCTGCTGGAAGCAGTAAAGGCTTGGGCTGAATGGAAGGTTTTGAATTCACCTGAATTTTTTTTTTTGGAGTCAGTCCATTTTCTAGAAAAAACAGACAAACCACAAATCAATTAAACAAACCCTAAAAAGCAAATTCTATCACATACCTTTCTCTACGCATTATCTTGACTTCTGAGTAGTTTAAGCATAGCTATTCTGCATATACCTGAATGAAGTAAAGTCCTTAAACTGAGATCTTTTTTGATCAAGGTGCAGTTTGGGAAGGAGGACACATGAACAGGTAAAGGACATATGGCTAAAAACACTGAATAAGCACTGAGATTAATGGAGTAACAAACGTCATAGTTGAATGCCCCTCACACTCAGTACCTTTAACTGAAACTTTGAAATCTCTCCTGATAATAATGGGGTCTGAGATTATTTTAAAAGATTTTTCATCTATGGGGGGCGGGTATATACAAACATAACGAGTGAGATGTGCACCATCTGGGGGATGGTCATGATGGAGACTCAGACTTTTGGGGGGAGGGGGGGAAATGGGCATTTATTGAAACCTTGAAATCTGTACCCCCATAATATGCCAAAAAAAAAAAAAAAATTCAAGAAACAAGAAAAAAAAAAAAAAAAGATTTTTCATCTATAAAGACAGAGACAACTGAAGATTATTTCTTCCCTTTCCTCTCCACAGTAATCACCCATAATAAACAGTACAGGTCCACTAATTTGAAAACATTAATAATATATACCTTAATAAATATGCCTTAATAACATTAATAATATAATGACTTAAAATAATAATGCCTTAATAATAATAATGCCTTAAAAACATTAATAATATATGCCTTAATAAAGCTTAATAAATATATGCCTAATCCAATATTTACTTTTAAGAAATGAAACCTAAGCTATTTCAAAATAGAAATAACAGAAGTTAGGAGATGGAGTAATACCAGTTTTATTCCTAGGACCAATGACAGGCTTATCTTCCTTCAGAGGCTCTGCTGAAGAGGGACTATTACAGCTTTCACCATATAAAGAAAGGGGAGACATCTGGGAACTAGAAGACAAATCCAACTCCTCCTGTAGCAAATTTAAAATAAAAAATTAATGCAGAAGAGTATAATCCTTGAGCAGCGAATTGCTAAGAAAGAGGAACAAGATCCGAAAATATTTTAAGGCAACTTCAAGGGAAAGGTGTGATATATTAGAAACGATATCTATGTATTAAGTACTAAATGAGTATGGATAAATCAACGCTATCCATCAATATCAAAGGCACAATAATTCAAAATGCAGGGTAAGTCTATGGCATCCTCTTACATTAAAAATATAAATCATTGATCTGCTTCTATATTTCTTCCCATAAACTTTATACATTTCTTGGTTCCTGGTCATACAAACATTTAGTATCTTTATAAGGCTACAGTTAAAACTCCAATGTCCTTTCCCCATAATCTTTGATTCAGTCTTAAAAGAATCTCAAAAGCAAAATAATTCTAACTATTTTTATCCTTTTCTATTTGTTAACACTATCTTTGTCCCAAATGTTGTGAAAGACAAACACTGAAAGGAGCATGGCTACTTTCTTTCATTTTTAATGGGTGAATTGATAATAACAGATATATAAAGATAACATTAATATTTTCCAGAAGTAATTTAATGTTTAATGAATATGTCTCATTTTATTAGAATAAAGAAACTTAACATAGGATAAAAGCAGTATTTTAATTCAGAGAGAAAAGATAGTATACATGATAATGGAATATACATAATCACTACTTCATATCATCTTCAAAACAATCTACAAGATTATTAAAAGAAAATTTAATAGAATACTTATTTACTCTCAGAATTTTATTAGGCCCTCTTAAGTCACCCAGAAGCCATAAAGGAAGAAGAAACAGATTTGCACAAATAATAACTGAAATATTTAACAATGAAAACTAGATATATAGGGAGAAAATATTTGCCAGAAATGGGCACAGGACAAGAACAGCCATTTCACTGAAAAGGAAATACAAATGGTGGCCAAAGGTAAACTTAAACTTCTTTTTAACATAAGAAAAAATTGAAATGACCTGCAGAACATATGGGAGAAATGTACATTCTCAGTCTCATTGGCGAGAGAGAGAATTGCTTCATTAATTCATCCTTAACTCAGCATGTAGCCAGACCCTGAGCTATATGAACCTTGAACCTTGTAGACTATTTATAAGAAACCAAAGAGTACAAGACAACAACACTGGAGAAAACTATTATCTTCATGGCCTTAGATGCCTAAAAGGTATTTTATAAAATTTGACAAGTATTCATGAACAAAATCCCAGAAAACATGAATGAGAAGGATACTTTCTTAACATTTAAAAAAAAAAAAAAAGCTATGGGTAATTACACAGCCAACATCATACTTAATGGTGAAACAGTAAATGCATTACCATGAAAGTCAGGATAAGAAACAGACACTTGCTTTTTCTGTAATTCTAGCAATTCTTCTAGAAAATGAAATTAAAGAAATAAACATTAAAATAGAAGAGAAAGAGGCACCTTTTTGCAAGGTGATATCCTGTCTACTTGGAACACTCATAAGAATCAAATGAAAAAATATTTGGCTATGAAAATATTGTATAAATACTCAGAAAATATAATAAAAGATAAATATTTCACTCAAAATAGTAATAACAATTATGAAATACCTGGGAATTTTCTAAAAATGTACAGGCCTTACATGAAGTAAACTATAAAACTTAATTGAGAGGCATAAAAGAAGATCTGAGTAAACAGAAAGACATACAATATTCTTTAATAGAATTACTATAAAAGATAATATAATTGGAAAAATTAGTTCACTTATATAGGGAAAATTAAAACTACTAATAGATTCCTACTTAACACCACTTATTAAACCAAACTCTAAAGGTATTAACCAATCTGAAAGTGAAAGGTCAATCATACAGCTAACAGGAGAAAAGGCAGGGGGAATATCTTTGTGGCCTGCAAGCCACAAAGAAGGACTTCTTACAACCTCAAAAATAAGCCATAAAAGTAAAGGAAAAAGAGATAAGTGTGAGTAATTCAAAATTAAGAATTTATAAAGACTACAAAGTTAACAGACAGATAACAGAAAGGGAAAAGATAAAGGCAACAACAGGAGTTTAATATCACAAATATGCAAGGAAGTCCTGCAAATAAACAAGAAAAAGACAACAACTCAGTAGAAATATTGACAAAGAACAGGAATAAACAATTTATAAAACAAAAAGATAGTCCAAAATGCTAGTAAGAATATAAAGAAATGTTGCAAACAATCAGTAACCAAAGAAATGCAAATTAAAACAAAACAAAAACAGACAACAAAAAAACGTTATGCCATGAGGCAAAAATTAGAAAGCCAGACACTGCCAAGTACTAGCAAAGAAGCAAGTTACAGGAATCCTCAAGCACTGCTGAAAGGCCTATAGAGCACTATGGCAATTCTAGAAGGTGACATGGAAGCACTTATCAAATTAAATATATGTACATGCTACCACTCAGCAATTCTACTCTGGGACATACATCCCAAAGGAATTCTCACATGGGACCACAAGGGAACATTTTTTACAATATTCATGGTGGTGTAGGTAAAATGTAGCGATCATATAATATTTGAAATATTGTACAGAGTTAGATACAACAGATTTGATGTAGAGAAATAGATTGATCTTAAAAACATTGTGCTGATTTTTAAAAGTAAATAATAGAAAGAGATCTAATATAATATCATTTATATAAATTTTAAATACATGTACACGATTGAAATCAGTGAAAAAAGATGAACTTTTTAATAAATGGTACTGCAATAATGCTTTTTGGTAGTCAGTTGGAAAAACATAAAATTGGATATGTATCTCATATCATATACCAGGATAATTTCAAGTGGACCAGAGATCTAAATACTAAAAATCAAATCTTATGATAAATATGTATTAATTGTCACTTAGAAAATATTCCTTCCTGAATAATTTGATCTTAAGCCACCAGAGGGGTTAAAAAAGACAACCATCCATACAGACAGGCAGCCCGGTGGACAGAGTTCAAGGGTGGGAAGGAGGGCATTCACATAGGGTGCAGGCTGGCATGAGGAGGCAGAGCAGCGTGATGAGGCCACCCAAATGGGGGATATCCTATGTATGGATGCCAGAGCCCAAGAAAGACATGTTAAAAAAAACATAAGAGGTGGTGAGAAGGGACTCCCACTGGCCAAAGTCAGGACAATATAAACATCAGAATAAATAATTTATAACCTGTTGAATAAAATAAGAAACAATGAACCCATACTGATATTAACAAATAAGTGAATAAATATCAAGTTTGATAAGGAACAGGATATTTTTACATAGTTTTATAGTTATGTCCTCACAAAATACTTATTTATGGCAAAGGGAAAAAGAGCAACTGCACAGTGGAATAGCCTGGCACACACCACCTATCAAATGATCAAAGTGAACATCATCAGTAATAGGACAGATTGAAATTGTGTCATCAAAAGAAAATGAGGGCCGGGCACAGTGGCTCACGCCTGTAATCCCAGCACTCTGGGGGGCCGAAGCAGGATCGTTCGAGGTCAGGAGTTTGAGACCAGCCTAAGCAAGAGTGAGACCCTGTCTCTATTGAGAATACAAAGAAATTATATTTTTATAATGTAAAAATATTAGCTGTACAACTAAAAATATATAGAAAAAATTAACCAGGCATGGTGGCGCATGCCTGTAGTCCCAGCTACTAGGGAGGCGGAGGCAGAAGGATCACTTAAGCCCAGAAGTTAGAAGTTGCTGTGAGCTAGGCTGATGCAATAGCACTCTAGCCTGTGCCATAAAGCAAGACTTTGTCTCCAAAACAAAAAAAAAAAAAACACGTAAATGAGATGGATATAGCACTTCTCTGACATTCCTGCCATGGACATAAAACCCAAATCTAAACATAAGGAAACATAAGACAAACCCAAGTGAGGGATATTCTTCAAAATAACTACCCTCTAATCTCTACATGTGGCAAGGTCAAGAAAGTCAAGGACAAATGAAGAACTTTTTCAAACTGAAGGAGATTAAAAAGACAAGACAATCAAATGCAATGCATGATTCTGAACTGGATCCTTTTGATAGTCTAAAGAAGCAGTCCCCAACCTTTTTGGCACCAGGGCCAATTTCATGGAAACAATTTTTCCACGAGGGGAGTGAGGGTAATAGGTAGAGCTCAGGTGGTGATGCAAGCGATGAGGAGCAGCTATAAACACAGATGAAACTTCACTTCCTCACCCACCACTCACCTCCTGTAGTGTACCGTTCCACTTTCCTGACTTTCATGGAAGACAATTTTTCCTGGGGTGAGGGAAATGTAGCAGAGCTCTGTGGCCTGGTTCCTAACATGCCCTAACCGGTACATGGACTGGGGATTGGGGACCGTAGGTCTAAAAGACACCTCTGGGACATCTGGCACAACCTAAGTGGTAGCTAAAGATTAAATGATATCAATGTTTATTTCCTTATTTCGATGCTTGTATCATAGCTATGTAAGAAATATCCTTGCTTGAAGGAAGTGGATACTAAAGTATTTGGGGATAATAGGATATTAGGTTGGCAACTTACTCTCAAATGGTTCAGGGAAAAATAAGTTCTTTATAATGTACTTGTAACATATCTATAAATTTGAGATTGTTCCAAACAAAGAATTAATATAAGCAAGAAAACAAGAAAAACAAATATGAGTGAATTCTTCTATAGCCTCTGGTGGTGAAAACATTTCTCTGAGTGACCAAAAAAAAGCAATAGAAGAAAAGATCAATAACCTAGCTATAGAAAAAAGTATACATATGGAAAATATACACCAGAAATAAGGCTAAAAGACAAATGAAAAATTGGGGAAGAAATATTTGCAGCTTATTTTACAAACTAAGGACTAATAACCCAAGTATATAATACCCCAGCTTAAAAAAATGAAGAGAACAAGACAAACACAATTCAATTATTAATAAAAAATTTTAACTGACAGTTCATTTAAAAAATGTAAGTAGGCCATAAACATATAAAACACATGAACAGATATAGATATTCACCATACTTATAATAAAAGAAATAAAAAATAAAACATATTATAGAGTGATGATGGGAAAACAGGTTTTCTTACACACTGCTGCTGAAAATGCAAAATTGTATCATATTATACCTATAGAGGGAAACTGGGCAATATCTAGCAAAATTACAATATATTTACCCTGGTGTCAGCAATCCTATTTCTTGGAATATATCTCAAAGGTATCCTGGCAAAAATATGAGGTGACTTACATACCAAGTTATTACTACAGCACTATTGAGTCTGGAAAAGACTGAAAATAACACAAATTGTTGTTCCTGAATAAGGAAATCATTGAATGAAATATCATATAGCCATACAATGGAACACCAAACAGCTACAGAAAGGAATGAGGGAGATTATATATGCTAAAATTAGCAGAACAGTACCTTTTGTGCAAGAAAGGATGGGAAGGACAAGGACAGAAACCAGGTTTCTCTGAATACACCTTTTTATATACTTTTTTTTTTTTTTTTTTTGAGACAGAGTCTCACTTTGTTGCCCAGGCTAAAGTGAGTGCCGTGGCATGAGCCTAGCTCACAGCAACCTCAAACTCCTGGGCTCAAGCAATTCTACTGCCTCAGCCTCCCAAATAGCTGGGACTACAGGCATGCACCACCATGCCCGGCTAATTTTTTCTCTATATATTAGTTGGCCAATTAATTCCTTTTTATTTATAGTAGAGACGGGGGTCTCGCTCTTGCTCAGGCTGGTTTCGAACTCCTGACCTCAAGCAATCCGCCCGCCTCGGCCTCCCAGAGTGCTAAGATTACAGGCATGAGCCACCGGATCCGGCCTTTTTATATACTTTTGACTTTGAAAGTAAATTAAAGTTTTAGCCAGCCACAGTGCCTCGTGCCTTGTAATCCTAGCACTTTGAGAGACCAAGGCAGGAGGATCACTTGAGACCAAGAATTCACAAGCAGCCTGGGCAACATAGCGAGATCCTGTCTTTACAAAAAATAAGAAAAAAATAGGTAGGTGTGGTGGTATGTACCAGTCTCAACTACTCAGGAAGCTGAGGCAGCAGGATCACTTGAGCCCTGGAGTTTGAGACTGAGGTAAGCTATGATCCTGTCACTGCACTCTAGCCTGGGCGACAGAGCAAGACCCTATCTATAAGTAAGTAAGTAAATAAGTAAATAAATAAATAAATATTTTTAAATTAAATGATTTGGAGAAATTGTGAGACCACAGAGAACTTTCCAATAGGAACAATCAGAGAAAAGCTTCATGAAGGAAGTAATTTTTGAACTGGGACTTAAAGAATGAGGAATTTTCCAAGAAAAAAAATGGGGCTATTCCAGGCAAAAGAAAGATGCGCAAAAACCTAAAATTGTAAGAGCAGGGATCTCACTGCTCTTATTCACTGCCAGCATTTGAAACAGTGCCTGACACGGTTGTTGAATGAGTGGAGTGCATAGATGCCCTCACGTAGGAACTCTCACAGGGTTTAAGCTAAGGGGACTGTGAAGGTAAGAGGGGATAGTGAGAAATGACACTAGAAGAGTAAGCAGGGGCCAGACCATGGAGGGCCTAGTACTCTGGGAATTTAAGTTGCATCCTGGGAATGGGGAGCTATTAAAAGGTTTTAACCAAAGGACTGACTCAGACAAGTTTGTGATTTTGAAAGATTTCTCTTTGAAGATTCCTCTACTAAGAAAGGTTTTGCAGAGTTGGGAAGCAGAAAAACCAATTAAAATTCTATTGACTTAATCCAGGTGAGATGATGATGGAATGGCAGGGGCAGAAAAGATGAATCCTAGAGACATTAGGTGATTAGAATCACCTGGATATAGTAATTGACTAAATGTAGACCCTGCCAGAACAAAGATACTTCAATTTATGGCAGATATAAATACTAAAATATTGTTTGAATTTTATTCTTATATTTTCATTCTCCCCATTCCAAGTACTTAAATCAGGTACTTCCTTTTCCTGGACTCAGAGCTTTTGTCTGGATCAGGAGAAGAGCTCTAAAGGAGCTACCAGACTTCTGTAAAAACCTCAGCCCATTCAAAAGGTAGTGCTAGACATCCCTGAACTAAAATGACCATTCTAGGTTCTATGGCTAAGGAGTTAAAAAACTGACCATTTTACATTCTTCCATGTTCTCAAAGAATATATATTCTAATGAGGAGGAGGAAGAAAGGCAGAGAGAAAAGACAGTAAGCCAATAAACAACAACAACAAAATAACAATGGATACTGGTAAAACGCAATTAAACAAAATGCAATGAAACAATGAAATTAAGGAGGCAAGAACACTGGCGAAGGAAAGCAAAACCAAAGACACTAACAACTTTCTAGCTACTACAAGTCCCTTCCTTGAGTATCAATTTTCCTCAGTAATGAGATAATAAGGCTCATAGCAGCACTAAATAAATGTTAACTGCTTCTCCCATATACATATTTCCAAAATAGAATTATAATCAAAATCTTTGTAAAAGATTAGCTACTTACAGGAACATGCTGAGTTGAAGAATATGAGTCCACTGACCGAGGAGATGAGACTGAACAACTAGAGGAGGCTGGTGAAAGTGGCTGAGGCTCTGTCTTAATATCTTTAACTGAAAAACATTGAATAAAGGTTTTCCCCCCTGGATAATATAAACTCAGAATGAAATGAACAAGAAAGAAGGTAAAATCTTACTCATAAAATTCAATCAGGTATAGAAACTAAGGTCAGCAAAATATAACCTTAAATGAACATACAAGATGTAGAAAACAGTATATCTAGTATGTTTCCATGTGTGTATACCTAACTACTTGCACCTGTACAATTCTCTGGAAAGGTAAACAGAAGAAATTGGTAACAGTGTCTCTGGGGAGCAGAAGTTGTTAGCTGAGGAATAAGAGCAGAAAGAGACATTTTTCTTCTATGTATACTTTTGAACCCTTTGAATATTATACCATATGTAAAAAGTTACAGATTCTTCAAAATTAATTTAAAAAATAAGCAGCAGGAAAGAATTGTTTTAGAAAGCATTTTTTAATAATACAATTAAAACTCACAAAAACATACATATCTTTTGAACTTTTTTTTTTTGGAGACAGAGTCTAACTCTGTCACCCAGGTTAAAGTGCAGTAGCCTATCATAGCTCACTACAATCTCAAACTCCCAGGCTCAAACAATCCTCCTGCCTCAGCCTCCCAAGAAGCTGGGACTACAGGTGTGCACTACCATGCCCAGCTAATGTTTCTATTTTTTGTACAAACAGGGTCTTGCTATGTTGCTCAGACTGGTCTTGAACTCCTGAGCTCAAGAGATCCTCCTGCCTCTGCTTCCCAAAGTGCTAGGATAACAGGTGTAGCCACCATGCCCGGCCTTGAACTTATGCTACAAACGTTATTGAGTGATCATGGTCCAGGCAGTCTTCCTTGGTGTCAAAGATATAACAGGGTGGGGGTGGCCAATTATTTTCCAAAGTTGGCCACAAAATATCTACCATCCCTTCTGCTCTTCTATAATGTGATCTTCTCACTTCGCCACCAAGTAGTAGAGTCTATTTCCCTTTCTCTTGAATTTATGTGGGCTTATAACTCCTTCAGTCAACAGAGAATGGAAGTAATGCTATGTGAATTCTGAGGGTGACATGCAGCCTCTGCTTGGTATGCTGGAACACTCCCAGTTGGAGCCTTTCAAGTCTGACTACCCTAAGACCACCAGGATTTGAGGCCCTGGTAGGCACTCCAGTGGCAGTCTTAGTCTTCAAGTCATCCCAGCCCAGGCACCAGACATGTGAACAATGAAACTTCCAGATAATTCTAGCCCCCAAATGTCAGGCTACTCAAGCTTTCAAATCTCCCCAGTTGAGGTCTGGACATCATGGAGCAGAGACAAGCCATCCAGTCCAAATTCCTGACCCATAGATTAAAGGAATCTAACAAAATTATTGTTTTAAGCTACTAAGATTTAGAATAGGGTCAGGCATGGTGGCTCACACCTGTAATCCTAGCACTCTGGGAGGCCGAGGCGGGTGGATCACTCAAAGTCAGGAGTTCGAAACCAGCCTGAGCAAGAGCAAGACCCCATCTCTACTATAAATAGAAAGAAATTAATTGGCCAACTAAAAATATATAGAAAAAATTAGTTGGGCATGGTGTTGCATGCCTGTAGTCCCAGCTACTCGGGAGGCTGAAGCAGAAGGATTGCTTGAGCCCAGGAGTTTGAGGTTGCTGTGAGCTATGCTGATGCCACAGCACTCTAACCAGGGCAACAGAGTGAGATTCTGCCTCAAAAAAAAAAAAAAAAAAAAGATTTAGAATACTCTGTTATACAATAGGAACCAGAACACTGACCTTGTGTATCCCATAGTCAATGAAGGAAAACAGGCATCAAGGAAGGTAAATAAGTGCAGTGGTAGGGAGGAATTTAGATAGGGGCATGTACTAGTTATTTATCCATCATCTCTCACCTCCAAGTCCATCTTCTATAGTCTATAATGCAAATTATTAATAGAATTCCCAGCTGGTTTCATTTTTAGATCCTGTCAGTAGGAGATACTAGAAGGATGCTGGAAGATAGAAGGGGTTTTCTTCATTCCCCTATGATTTTTACCCTAGCAGTGACACTTCACTCCAGGGTCCAGATTCCTTCAGTCTATCGATCCCCCACCTCATCAGGTGTGCTGGACATGAGCATCAGCCAGGCAGTACCCCTCCTCAGAAGTATGTGCGCATCAAAAGCACAGGAACCCTCCACCAAGTTCCCAGGTCTGGTAACCCCAGCCTATTCCCTTGGATTCCCTAAGCCTTGTCTATAAGTTGATCTCTTACAGAGATATTACTCATAATTCAAAATCAATATTTCTATTTCTGATATGAAATTATTTATTCATTCATTAGACTACTGAAACATAACTATAAAATTATTTGTATCCATTTTTGGTAAGAAATTTATTGTGTCACTGCCATACCAGAAGAAGGATATATAGTCCTAGAATCTTTTAACCCACCAATGTAGTCCAATAACCTCACCTAATTTTAAGTATTACCAGACTACAAAATAAAATGAATCTGTGTAAAGATTTTGCCAATGAATCACATTATTACCTGTACAGAATTGGTTATTGATGTCCCAAATGTCTGACTCCCAAGGCATCAAATCCAAATCGAAATCAAGATGATCAAAATTGTTTTCCTATAGGTTTCAAATCAGCAAAACAATATTAAAAGAATAAAAATATATACATCTTAAAATCAAACTATCAGACACAATTTGTCATAAGTACTATTACCCAACCTAGCAAAAAAAATTTTCTAAGTCCATTGGTTCATTTGAGAATACATCTTGGATAGCGTAGAGATAAATAATTCAGTTATTTGAAGTACAGCAGTAAAACTAAGAAAGTAATAATGAATTCAATATCTAAAAGATTCAGTTGCCTTCATTCTTTTCCAGAAGAAGAGACCATTACAGAAGTCACAAAATGTGTCTTTTATCATAAAGAAAATCCCGAAAAATAAACTTTCCCATTGCCTTTAAGGGAAACAAATCAAAGCAAATGGCAATTCACAACATCATCTCTATGTATAATAGAAAGAATTTAGATATATCCAAAAGACATGCAGGAATTATAAAGAGAGTAATTCTCACAGGGTAATTTTCTTCTTTTTTCTACTGTTCTGTGCCTTTTAAATTTCTAAAATTTTTATCAAAAAATAATATTTTTTAATCCTAAAAGATAAAACTAACTTTCTCAAACAAAAGTCAACAAACCTCTTAAAAACTTCTTAATTTTTTTACTTAAACATAAGCATATTCTGGACCATCTGGATGACCCCCTTATACTATTAATATATTAGTTATATATTAATATGTAATATTTATTCATTAATATTTAGGTAATAAAGAACTATCACATGATTTAAGAGCCCTCGTGTGAGTTGAAGATCAAGAAAGTATCAAACAATACAATTTTAAATTAAATGTCTGGGATTACAGAAACAAGAACCAGAAGTTGCATAAACAATGCAATAAAGTATGCATAAACAATACAACAAAGTCAAAAGGCAGTCAATGTTAACTTAGTATCACAAATGCTAAAACAGCAACAATAAGGAAAGGCTTTGGCAAAAAGTAAAAATTTATCTAGTAAGTGTTGACAACCATTTGTTAATAATTTCTAGAACAGTATTAGCATTTCAAAATGACTATTATGTGGTTTATTTTTATCTAGAATGTAATAGAAGTAGAGAAGGGAAGATGTTTTCTTATCGTACTGAGTAAATACTACTACAAGGTATAGAAAGAAAATGTGTGGAAGTTCACATAAAAAAAACACTTAAATCATGAAAGAGCTGTTTTTTAAAAAAATCAATGTCCTTCACTTTTTTCTCTTATTTGAATCTACACATTGAAAAATTAAGCAGCCTGTACTTTCAGCAACCAAAAAACACTTTAAACTTTCTTACTCTAAGTAAATTTACCAATGCTGCTTGCTTGAGTTCTAGCAATGCTTATAAATATGGGCATGATCTACTTCAGGGAGCTTCTGGCTCAATCTTCAGCCAAAAAAGCCAAATATCTTTTACAGCATAAGAATTTAATCTGGTTGGAAATCTAACAGACCCATTTTATGCAAAGTAAAACATACTGATCCTTATATACTCTGGTTCTTCAATGATTTATCATGGAAAATTCTACCTCAGTGTAGAAGGATGACACCAGGCCTCTCAGAGATCATGTTACACTAGAAAAACTAAGGAAATGAAAGACTAAGTGGCTTGCATAAAGTATTATAACAAAATGTTAGTTAAGAGGGACCATATTCTCCTGAATCTTTCAAATTTAACACACTGTTTCTTGATACAGTTTAAAACAAACTCGATTTTAGGAACTAGAGGTTATGAAAGAATATCAGTTGCTTAGTCAAAGAGTCAATATTAAAAGCCAGCTTAATCAACAGGCTACATTCTAAAGGATCTCACAGAGTAAATGAAAACATTAAAATCGCCTGCACTGATTTAAAAAAAAAATCATGGATATCACTCTCTTCTATTGATTCATAGTAAAACAACTGCTAAATCATTTTAGAGAAAGACCTGAAACTCCCTAAGGAAGCATTTCATATTTTTATGCTCTAGTTAAAAAGGGCTTAAAATAAGTGATAAATATTAAATCTAAATGATAAATTACTCTAATTGACAAACTACTCTGCTCACTTGAATTACTTCACAAGTGAAACAGCACCTCATCCATTAAAGAATGAGGCAAAATAACAGTCCAAAGATCGAACAGCTTCATATATACTAATCAAGAAAAGAAAAAAAAGAAAATCTAAGATATTTCTGAGGACTCAGAGTGTTATAATAATAACTTTCACACAGACCTCTAACCAATTAAAGGCAAAAAGTAAGAATATACCTATTTTAAGAGCTTTCTACACTAGAATACATAATGTTTAGAAAGGAAGTTAGTAATGACCGGACATGGTGGTGGAGCATGCCTGAAATCCTAGCACTCTGGGAGTCCAAGGTGGGAGGATTGCTTGAGGTCAGGAGTTCAACACCAGCCTGAGCAAAAGCAAGACCCTGTCTCTACTAAAAATAGAAAAAACTAGCCAGTTGTAGCATGCACCTGTAGTATCAGCTACTCAGAAGGCTGTGCCAGGAGTTTGAGGTTACTGTGAGCTAGGATGACACCAAGGCGCTCTAGCACAGGTGACAGAGCAAGACTCTGTCTCAAAATAAATAAAAATAAAAAAGAAGTTGGTAAGTTCTAATTGACTAGGTCCATGACTCATATACACCCCTTAACATCATATCTTTCCCTTGTTCAGCAAAGTATCTGTAAAAACCAAAAAGTAGGCAATTAAATGACTTTTCTTAAAAAATCGCCCACCCGTGGGGCCAAAGGTGGGCTTAGAATACAAGTCTTCTCACACCAAGACCAATGCAATTTCTACTGTCCTACATTTACTGACTACAAAATGGCTACTAACTATCATACTTACTGCTAAAAGTTATTTGAATTTAAATTACTAGCCTAAACCTGTTGTCCTGAAACTTTGTTGCAATAATTAGGGTAAAGATTAAATATCACATTTCAATATTTCTCCTCTAGTAAATACTTACATAAGTTTCATTTGCTGCATCCAATTGCAGCTCCTCAGTGTCTGTGAAATAACCAAGTTCAGCAAACAGGGTAGAATCTTTGGACAAAAGGAAAGAAGAGAAATTAACTGTCAATTCAATGATAAGACAAAAAGACTACCTATAACAGCTCTACTGGGGCTTCTTATTAGCCATTACTATTATTAATAAACTCTAGCAGTATGAATGACAAGCAATTCAAAGCTCATTGCTATTTTGTGTTGTTTTCCACATAATTTTTATCTTTTGAACTGAATTCTTACACAGGGATCAAAAAACGTTTTATGTCATATGTCATGTTGAACTAATTGGTAGTGACTTTCTAGAACATTACTAATAAGAATTTGATGCTACATCTGAGCTCAGCATGAAAAAGTAATGTGGCTGATAAGCAATGATGATGGGAGAGCACTATGGACAGTATACTTGTACTATGTATGCCATACATCCGTTAAGGGTGCAACCAATTTTCTGTCTAGACAACAAAGGACTCACTCATCTAAACCATCAAATTCATTTTAGCAAATCTACCTAGAGTCCAACTTCCTAAGAAGGCCATTACCAACCAAGAAATAGATGGACACAGAAAAACATTCTTTAATAAATTAGACTGAAAACTTTTTGTAGAGCAAAGTCAAAGACCTGACAAAGCCTATGAAGGCTGATTACAGTAAAATCTGTAAAGTTTCTATTTTCTCTAACGCTTTCAAAACTTCAAGCATCTTGAAGAGTTTTCCAAATCTAGGTCCTCCTTTGTACTCTCTATCTATTATCATATCACTGAAACTGCTCTGATTATTTCCTCACTGCACATGTTTAGAAACTACACTGCCAGTCTTTAACTTGGTCAATGACAGAAACATTTCAACAACCTTAAGACAAAGTAGTACAGGGCAAAAAACTTTACATGTAGTAATAATGAAAGGTTACTCAGATGACTCTCGGAAAAGGATACCTTAAACTCAGCTAGAGATCCAAAAACCTTGTAAGTAGATGAACTGTGGCTAGATACCTTATATATAGGCTGAAAGTCCCTGAAAGAGTTCCCTATGTTGGCTCTTTCATTTTTTTCCTCCCATTTTTTCTTGAACCTGCTCCAACTGAACTCCCCTATCCACACATACAACAATTATTAATGTCACTAATGACCTCCATATTGCTAAATTCAATGGTATATTAAGTCCTCATCTTACTTGACCTATCAACAGCATTTAACACAGTTGATTGCTTCATGTTAATTGAAGTATTTTCTTGACTTCCAAAATACCACACTTACCTGGCTTTCCGCCCACCTCACTGGTTGACCCTACCTTGCTATTTCCTCCTCAACTCCTAACATTAAATTGTCCCTGGGCTCAGCATAAACTTTCCTATCTCCTCTACTCCCTTTCTAAGCTCAGCTGAGTTCATGGCTTTAAATAGCAACTATGTGCCAAAGATTCCCAAATATATATCTTCAGCCCATACTTCAAGATGCATGCACATACTGAGTACTGACATCTCTCAGTTGTTTAAAAGGCATCTCAACACATCCAGAACTGAGCTCCTGATCACCCCCCACCAAACCTCCTACTGCTTTGTCCTCATTTCAATTTTCTCAGTTGCTCACACCAAAAAAAACCTTGGGATCATTGTTTATTTCTCTTCCTCACTCTTCTTATTCACGATATCAGCAAATTCTGTCAGATGTCTTCAAAATAAATATCCGTAATCTGGCTTCCTACTTTTCCTCCCATTCTTCATTCTCTTCTTGTGGGGGCGCCTTGATGGAGCCTCGGCGGCGTCTCAGTGGCACAACAAGAAAAGAGCTCCCCCCCCCCTTCGTGTGAAGTAGGGTGAGGCAATTAGCAAACAGCACATATCTGTTTATACTCATACCTCCGGTTATCTCTTGGGTTGTGAAGAAAGGCAAACGGGAGGTGGGATGCGCAGGGATCGCGCAGAATACAAAGAAAATTAATCACTTCAAAGGTCAGCTCATGACCAGCACGTGATTAGTTTGTGCGTTGCTAGGGCCCTTTGGGGGGGGGATAAAAGGCACCCCGCAATTCAGGTCGGGGTCCTTGCCTGCAAAAGTGGCCACTGCGTTGGTGCTCTGGGGCTTGGACCCTGGCTAGCCAGAAAATAAACCTCCTCTTGTGTGATTGCATCCTCAATGTCTCTGCTTTTCTGTCCGGTGGGGCTGTGGAAGGTCGGTCCCTAACATTCTCATCTCTTTCCCTTCTTTTCCTCCCAACATGGAGATGTCAGCTTTCAAGGAAGCAGAGCAATGAAGGTGATGAGGTTTTATACACAGTCATCTACAGCAATGTGTCTCATATCCAAAGAAATGGGACGGTGCAGGAGGGGGTGTTGCCAAGCAGAGGTGGCGGCATGCCCTAGCCATCAATGAAATGTGAAGGGGGAACAGAGTGGCAGGTAGAAGAGGCAGCATAAGTAATTAGGAGAGTGATTACACTGAACAAATATGTTAACTGATTTAGCAAACAATTAAATATATCTAAAATAATTGGAGTCACATTTCTCACTGTCTGAGAAAGGATTTAAGAACATAGAAAGGGAGAAAACTAAAAGAACCCTAAGATGTTGGATTAGAATCAGAAGTATTAGTAAATGAAGTCGTTTTAAAAATATAAATATATGTGTATATATACACATACACATATAGCTAAATTAACAGTCATAGATGTTTGTATATTATGTATTATACAGATGTTTGTACAGATGTGTACATATACATACATATACTTCCTAGTTCTGTCTGCTAAGAGGTCCTATCAGCAATGACATCCCTGTAGCAATGAAAATGCTAGGTGCCCAGATCTTGGATAACACCAACCTTCACTAAACAGAAGTCCACTAAACAGGGCTCATCAGAGAAATGATTGATTCCAGGGCTGAGGCCAGGAAAGTGCAAAATAAGCTGGGAAAATCTTGCCAGAAAATGAAGGAAATTCTCAGCAAATGATAGGAACAGATCAAAAGAACAAAGGTATCAATATGAATGGACTCTCAGTGGTCAAATCTGGGAAACTCTGAGCATCAAAATAAAATAAGAGTATCAGATTACAACCCACTGAATCAAATGAATCATGAAAGAAGTCCATCATGAAAGAAAGACAAAAAGAAGGCTCTTTCTTACAGTATAATGTCAATTAATAAATGTAGACAGAATGACAGGTACAGACAGTGAAAGTTAATATAGGCAGGAGTTATCAATGAGGCTAGGGGCTGGTGACTGGAGGTTTAATAAGAACAGGACATTGGTATCATATCAGATTATCTCCCCCAAAATAGTAATAAAATACAAAAGGGAAAACAGTGGCTTTACAGTGGAGAAACTTGGAAGATATTAACTTGACCATGTGATCAAGGTGAACATCACCTTGAGATGGATCAACATAGTATGCCTCCAAAATGTGATGCATGGGGAAGAGCACAGCATCATTTCCCTGGCATCCCTGCCCTGGATGCATGGCCCGAGTCTGGTCATGAGGAAACAGTGGACAGACCCTGATATAGGATCATCTTACAGAATAAAGGATTTACATTCTTTAAGACTGTCAAGGACATGAGAAATAGGAAAAGACTAAGGAACTGTTCCAGATTGAAGGACACTGATGAGACATTATAAGTAAAAGCAAGGTGTGTTTGCAGGTAGGATCCTAGACTAGAAAAGAGAAAGAGCCATTACTAAGACAGATGGAAAACTTTGAATGGTGTCTTTGAATTGGATGGTAGTGTTGTATCAATGTTTATCTCCTGACTGGCAGGAGTTTATGGTAGTAATACAGGGAAGTACTAAGTACTCTTGTTGGGGGAGGATGGGTAAGAGTATATACTGTGGTATTTAAGGGTGATGAGTTAACACATGTCTCTCTAAAGAAAGAAAGAAAGAAAGAGAAAGAGAGAGAGAGAGAAAGAGAGAGAAATGGGGCAAATGCAGTAAAATATAATAATTGAGGAGTCTGTGTGAAGGACATGCCAGAGTCCTTTGTACTAGTCTTACAGCTTTTCTGTAGGTTTGAAACTATTTCAAAATAGAAACTATATGTGTGGGTCACTCTCAAACACCAATGCCTCAACCACCAGTGCCGCCTCTTGCTCACCGAACTCCAGCCAAAGGAGAAAGGGGGTAAGTAAGGAGACTCCAGCCAAAGGAGAAAGGGGGTAAATAAGGAGGTCTTTATAGCATGGCTCCTACAAAGCAGACTGCCGGCAAATCCACCGGTGGTAAAGCACCCAGGAAGCAACTGGCTACAAAAGCCGCTGGCAAGAATGCACCCTCTACTGGAGGGGTGAAGAAACCTCATCGCTACAGGCCTGGTACAGTGGCACTCCATGAAATTAGACGTTATCAGAAGTCCGCTGAACTTCTACTGAACTGATTTGCAAACTTCCTTTCCAGTGTCTGGTGAGAGAAACTGCTCAGATCTGCGCTTCCAGAGCACAGCTCTTGGTGCTTTGTAGGAGGCAAGTGAGGCCTATCTGGTTGGCCTTTTTGAAGACACCAATCTGTGTGCTAGCCATGCCAAACATGTAACAATTATGCCAAAAGACAGCCAGCAAGCACACCGCATACGTGGAGAACGTGCTTAAGAATCCACTATGATGGGAAAACATTTCATTCTCAAAAAAAAGATTCTCTTCTTCCTGTTATTGGTAGTTCTGAACATTAAATATTTTTTCCCCAATGGGGTCAAAAGGTACCTAACTAGATGATTTTAAGTGGAAAAATAGGGGACAGAAATCAGGTACTGGCGGTTCCATTTTCCAGGTACTTCCATTTTCATTTGTGTGTGAATTTTTAATATAAATGTGGGGATGTGAAGGATTAATGCAAGTCAAATGTTTCAGTGAACAAATTTCAGCAGTTCAACTTTATAACAATGATAAATAAACCTGTTAAATTTTTCTGGGATAAAAACTATATGTGTGTATATGTAGGGGTGGGTGTGTACATGTAGGGGTGGGTGTGTACATCCATAATCCAACCACTTCTCATTACCACCACTACTACCATTATAACTCATGAGGATTGCTACAGAAAACTCTAAAT